GAGTACAAAATGAAGCAGGGCAAAGGCTAATTGAGTTTTGCTGAAAGAATTCACTGGTCATAGCAAACACCCTCTTCCAACAACACAAGAGATTATTCTACACATGGACATCACCAGATACCGAAATACCAGTACTCGGTCAATACAGAAATCAGACTGATTATATTCTTCGTAGCTGAAGATGGAGAAGCTCTATAGAGTCAGCAAAAACAAGACCAGGAGCTGACTGTGGCTCATATCATGAACTCCTCATTGAAAAATTCAGACTTAAATTGAAGAAAATATGGAAAACTACTAGGCCATTCAGGTATGACCTAAATCAAATCACTTATGATTATACAGTAGAAGTGAGAAATAGGGATTAGATCTGATAGAGCACCTGAAGAACTATGGATGGAAGTTCATAACACTGTACAGGAGGCGGTGATCAAAACCATCCCCAAGAAAAAGAAATGCAAAATGGTTATCTGAGGAGGCCTTACAAATAGCTGAGAAAAGAAGAGAAGCAAAAGGCAAAGGAGAAAAGGAAGGATGTATCCATCTGAATGTAGAGATCCAAAGAAGAGCAAGGAGAGCTAAGAAAGCATTCCTCAGGAAATGATGCAAAGAAATAGAGAAAAACAACAGAATGGGAAAGACTAGAGACCTCTTTAAGAAATTTAGAGATACCAAGGGAACATTTCATGCAAAGATGGGCATAATAAAGGACAGAAATGGTATGGACCTAATAGAAGCAGAAGAGATTAAGAGGCGGTGGCAATAATACACAGAAAACCTATACAAAAATGATTTTAATGACCCAGATACCCACAATGGTGTGATCACTCACCTAGGGCCAGACATCTTGGAGTGCAAAGTCAAGTGGGCCTTAGGAAGCATCAGTACGAACAAAGCTGGTGGAGGTGATGAAATTACAGCTGAGCTATTTCAAATCCTAAAATATGATGCTGTTAAAGAGCTGTACTCAATATGCCAACAAATTTGGAAAACTCAGCAGTGGCTATAGCACTGGAAAAAGGTCAGTTTTCATTCCAATCCCAAAGAAGGGTAATGTCAAAGAATTTTCAAACTACTGCACAACTGCACTCATCTCACACGCTAGAAAAGTAATACTCAAAATTCTCCAAGCCAGGCTTTAACAGTACGTGAACTGAGAACTGCCAGATGATCAAGCTGGGTTTAGAAAAGGTAGAGGAACCAGACAGAGATCAAATTACCAACATCTGTTGGATCATAGAAAGAGCAAGAGAATTCCAGAAAAACATCTACTTCCGCTTCACTGACTATGGTAAAGCCTTTGACTGTGTGGAGCACAACAAACTGGAAAATTCTTCAAGTGATGGGAATACCAGACCATTTTACAAAGCTGCCTCTTGTGAAACCTGTATGCAGGTCAAGAAGCAACAGTTAGAACCGGACATGGAACAACAGACTGGTTTCAAATCGGGAAAGGAGTACATCAAGGCTGTATATTATCACCCTGCTTATTTAACTTTGCAGACTACACCATGAGAAACGCTGGGCTGGGTGAGGCACAAGCTGGAATCAATATTCCCGGGAGAAATATCAATAACTTCAGATATGCAGATAACACCATCCTTATGGCAGAAAGAGAAGAGGAACTAAAGAGCCTTTTGATGAAGGTGAAAGAGGAGAGTGAAAAAAATGGCTTAAAATTTAAAACTCAACATTCAAAAAACAAAGACCATGGCATCTGGTCCCATCACTTCATAGCAAATAGATGGGGATACAATGGCAACAGTGACAAACTATTTCTAGGGCTCCAAAATCACTGCCGACGGTGACTGCAGCCATGAAATTAAGATGCTTGTTCCTTGGAATAAAAGCTATGACAAACTCAGACAGCACATTAAAAAGCAGAGACATTACTTTGCCAACAAAGGTCCGTCTAGCCAAAGCTTTGGTTTTTCCAGTAGTCATGTATGGATGTGAGAGTTGGACCATAAAGAAAGCTGAGCGCTGCAGAACTGATATTTTTGAACCGTGGTGTTGGAGAAGACGCTTGAGAGTCCCTTGAACTGCAAGGAGATCAAACCAGTCAGTTCTAAAGGAAATCAAACCTGATTATTCATTAGAAGAACTGATGCTGAAACTGAAGCTCCAATACTTTGGCACCTGATGCGAAGAGCTGACTCATTAGAAAAGACCTTGATGCTGGGAAAGATTGAAGGCAGGAGAAGGGGATGACAGAGGACAAGATGGTTGGATGCCCTCAATGACTCAATGCGCATGAGTTTGAGCAAGCTCCAGAGATGATGAAGGACAGGGAAGCCTGGTGTGGTGTAGTCCCCGGGGTCACAAAGAGTCAGACACAACTAATCGACTGAACATTATTAGAATTTTGAATACATTATTGCACAGAAATATTTTATAAGTAAGTGTAACTTTTGGGGTGCAAAATGGATTAAATGACCATTTAATGAGCTGGTTAAGAGTATAACCACCAATTCTTCTTCTATACAAAATGAATTCTGAGTTAAACCGATAGATTAAAAATACCTTTTGGATTACATTTCATTGGTAGATGGGACTGCCAACCCTCGAAAAAACCAATAATATTAGAAAACTGATTGCTTGATAACTCTCCTTTTAATAATTTTATCTTCTTATTATTACTACCAAAGGAATATGCTAATAATAATAAAAAGTGTAGACTATCTACGAATAATTGGCATATCTTGCCTTACTCTTTATTTTTTCAAAGATGTGAAGCTCTCATAAAACTCACTCACTGTGCTACCAGATGCCAAGTCAACAATGACAATATATTTTTAAAAGTGCAGGGGTTCATTGCAGCACTGTTTACAATAGCCAGGACATGGAAGCAACCTGGATGCCCACCAGCAGACGAATGGATAAGAAAGCTGTGGTACATGTACACTACGGAATTTTACTCAGCCATTAAAAAGAATTCATTTGAATCAGTTCTAATGAGATGGATGAAACTGGAGGCCATTATGCAGAGCGAAGTAAGCCAGAAAGATAAAGACCAATACAGTATACTAACGCATATATATGGAACTTAAAAATTTTAAAAGATGGTAACAATAACCCTATATGCAAAACAGAAAAAGAGACACAGATGTACAGAACAGACTTTTAGACTCTGTGGGAGAAGGCGAGGGTGGGATGTTCAGAGAGAACAGCATTGAAACGGGTATACTATCAAGGGTGAAACAGATCACCAGCCTAGGTTGGATGCATGAGAGGGTGCTCAGGGCTGGTGCACTGGGAAGACCCAGAGGGATGGGGTGGGGAGGGAGGTGGGAGGGGGGATAAGGATGGGAAACAAATGTAAATCCATGGCTGATTCATGTCAATGTATGGCAAAAACCACTACAATATTGTAAAGTAATTAGCCTCCAATGAATAAAAATAAATGGAAAAAAAAAAGAATAAATAATGAAAAAAAAAAGTGCAGGGGTTGGGGGTGGAATTCCCTGGTGGTCCCATGGTTAGGACTCAGTGCTCTCTCTGCCATGGGCCCAGGTCCAATCCCTGGTCAGAGAACTAAGATCCCGCAAGCCATATGGTGTGGCCAAAAATTAAAAATAAATACAAGGAAATATGTATCTCTCAACTCGGCACAAACAGAACCTTGTGGCAGTCAGTAATAGCTATATCTAAACACCAAAGAAGCCTCTTTATCTCAAGTAAGAGCTATTCCTTAATTGTGGCAGAAATTTTAGATCATATTACAGTGCAGTCTCTGAAGGCTTTGGTGTAGAAAAAACTGCCTTCAGCCTTGAAGCCTGCTTGCATCATTACATGCATCTTGGTGACTGAGGGTATTTTACTCACCACTTGGAAAAATTAGGCTATATTTTATAGATATTTTAAGAACTTATTAGGATTAATGAGTGAGTAGTATCACAGCTGTCACATGATCAGCTGCAGAAAATCACTGAGCTAAAAACTCTTACCACATATTCTACTATCTGTTCTTCACAGAGAGTTCTGGAATATATCTCTGGGCTTATATTTCATCAGCCTACACAGGCACTGAATTGATCGAGGGCTCTTCCAAGATAACAAGTACATAATTTTTCCTAGGGGAAGGCCACTACTCCTAGGATTACCCTCTCTGGAACAATCACTGCTCCGGGCCCATCCCCTGGAGCCAGGCCAGCAGGGGAATGGCTGTCTCTATGTACAAGCTTATTGTCATCCCTTTTTTTGCCAGAACTACATAGAGTATGAGTCAGGTTTTTCAGGATGTTTGAAATTATAAGGAGAGAGTCAACATGTTGGCTAAGTAGCCTCAGAGGTGTTCCAAGTATCCTGTGGCTGCTTAAATGAGAAAAGTGAGGCCAGTCAAAAGCTGGTCCTGGCAGCTGAGCTGTCTTGTATTAAGCCCATGCCACTCTGGGAACCACTTCAGGGTGGTTCTGTCTCACTGTTATAGAAGGAAAAGCTGACATTATCTTTCTAAAAGCCTAACTGAGAAGGAAAGATTAATGCTGTCCTGAAAATAAAAGTTCTTCATTTCCTATTAACTTAAACATCTGCTTTGGTTGCTGGAATCATGATTTGTATTGAGGGACTATTTCAAATGTCAAGCTGTAAATATTTTCAATTGGTAAAATCCCAGATACTAGGGTTGATAGCGTAGTAAAATTGTCACTGCAATGGAAAGAAAAGAAAAACTTTTACATTAATGCTAATTCCTCCAGTATTTGTGACTGATACTACTGAGTTTATAATGATATGCATGGATTAATTTTTCTTTTACCTGGAAAACAACAAATAACTGACCAAATTTATAACTTACTAACTAAACTCAAAATAAAATACCCTAATTGCTTGTTCAATATTTTTGGTTTCTATGGATATTTGGTTTAGCATGTTAAGTGTCAAAACAAAACTGACTATCAAAAGTCATACAACTCTTTTGGAGTTTTATCAGGGCTAAGTACTGAAGTAGAAATAAAGCTAGCAAAAGAGCTGAGCATTAGTATAAAATGTGAAATCAGCCTTACCCACTGCACCCGATGACTTTGTTGTACAGAAAGGATGGCAAGCCTTTCAGATGAATGTTGTTATCCACGTACACGTATTGAAGTTCTCGAGATCGACCTAAATCTGGGTTAGAAAGAAAAGTGTTGTAATTCTTATAAATATATACCAATATAAGTGAAACACGAAATTTAATAAATAATGTTAGAATAATTCAAAATTTCTACTCTGGAAGAAAAAATGTTGCAGATTTACCTAGGTGTGAAATTAAGTCAGCTGCAATATGAAATTATACATCAGAAAACATGACTGTTGAAAAAATTATTCAACCCACCTGAACTTTGAGTATTTAAAGTGTGAAATGAGTACTGGTAATGGAGTATTATCAGATTCCTTCCCATATGAAAATTCTATGACTTTTAATAAACAACTTCTATTTATTAAGCTTGTTATGAAAGTGTTAGTCCCTCAGTCATGTCTGACTCTTCGCAACCCCAGTGAACTATAGGCCGCCAGGCTCCTCTGTCTGCAAGATTTCCCAGGCAAGAATACGGAAGTCAGTTGCCATTTCCTCCTCCAAGGGATCTTCTTGACCCAGGGATAATAAACAATTTATATTTATTTATGAAGTTTTTATAGGTCATTTATTTAGTTTCATTTTTCCCCACAGGAAAAAGTGTCATACGAACTAAGTTAGCAGGTCAGCCCAAACGACATCTAGTTCTGCCCCAATATCAAGATTTACTGTGTCTCACCTCCCTTTGGCAGAAAGATGATAGAAGGGATGACAGAGAGCTAGGGACCAATCAGGCCCTGGCTGGGCTGAGCCTCAGGAGCCAGCTGATGTAGGAATGGGTGGAATTGCCCATGGCTGCAGGGGGAGGAAGCAGCAGAGGGAATCCCAAATTCCAGTTCTCAGTGAGGTGTGAGGTGCAGCTGGATGGACAAGACCTGCAGGCCAGGGAGCCAGGGGGGCAATGGGTTTATACCAGGAATAGGGAGAGATGAGAAAGGGAGTCCAAAGAGAAGAATCTGCAGTAGGAACAAGTATGCAGAAAGAAGGCGACTCCAGAAGTCTCCCACAGGTAGCTGGGCATCACTGACTCAAGGGACATGAGTTTGAGAAAACTCCGGGAGATAGTGAAGGACAGGGAAGCCTGGCATGTTGCAGTCCACAGGGTCACAAAGAATCAGACACAACTTAGGGACTGAACAATGAATAAAGCTGGGCAAAGGGGTAGCAAAGCCTAGAGTATTTGCTTGTGAAAAGAGGAAATAGGCTGAAAGGAGCTCTCTCTTCCCCTGCCCTTCCAAAGTTAGGATAGACAAAGGCAAAGATAGCTAAATTAGCATCTTTAATTTAAGGTTCTTAAGCATATTTACATTTCAAAAGAAAACCCATTTGCCCATTAAGGATCTTTTAGGCACTATGGTAGGCCTTGGATATTCAGATATGAACATGATATTGAGGACAGACATGAAAAATGGTTAACATGATCATTAACACACAACATGATCATTGCTATTAAAGAGGCTTGTCTAAGTCTTATGGATTCACAGGTGGGTTCTGGACAATTTATTACATTAAGTGGGAGGTGGCTAATATAAGACTGAGGTAAGGAAGGGTTTGTCATGGATAAAAGTAGGAAATGGTGAACACTAACAGGGAGGCCTGGCGTGCTACGATTCATGGGGTCGCAAAGAGTTGGACACGACTGAGCAACTGAACTGAACTGACTGGACTGACCTTCTCTTTTCCACTACAAATCTTATCACAGTAATCTTGCCCAGGATTAGCCCTGAGGCAAGTCACAAAAAGAGGAATCAAAATTGGAAGCATTGGAAACAGGCAACAACAGGGGAAGTGGGAACTCTTAGCGAGAAAAAAAGAATTACTAGGTTAGAGATGCCCTTTCCCAGTGGTGGTTTTAAGATATCTAACAAACAATACTGGAATGCAAAAATAGGAAGTCAAGAAATACCTGGAGTAACAGGCAAATTACGCACTGGAGTACAGAATGAAGCAGGGCAAAGGCTATCAGACTACTGCCAAGAGAACACACTGGTTATAGCAAACAGCCCCTTCCAACAACTTAAGAGAAGCCTCTACACATGGACATCACCAGATAGTCAATACTGAAATCAGATTGATTATATTCTTTGTAGTCAAAGATGGAGAAGCTCAATATAGTCAGCAAAAACAAGACCAGGAGCTGACTGTGCCTCCTATCATGAAGTCCTTATTGCCAAATTCAAATTTAAATGGAAGAAAGTAGGGAAAAACACTAGATTTAGGTCAGGTATACTCATACCTGACCTAAATTAAATCCCTTATGATTATACAGTATAAGTGAGAAATAGATTCAAGGGATTAGATTTGACAGAGAGAGTGCCTGAAGAACTATGGGTAGAGGTTCATGACATTGTACAGGAGGCAGGGATCAAGACCACCCTTAAGAAAAAGAAGTGCAAAAGGCAAAACTGTTGTCTGAGGAGGCCTTACAAATAGCTGTGAAAAGAACAGAAGCGAAAAGCAAAGGAGAAAAGGAAAGATATACCCATTTGAATGCAGAGTTCCAAAGAATAGCAAGGAGAGATAAGAAAGCCTTCCTCAGTGATTAATGCAAAGAAATAGAGGAAAACAACAGAATGGGAAAGACTAGAGATCTCTTCAAGAAAATTAGAGATACCAAGGGAACATTTCTTGCAAAGATGAGCACAATAAAGGACAGAAATGGCATGGACCTAATAGAAGCAGAAGATGTGAAGAGGCGGCAAGAAGACACAGAAGAACTATATAAAAAAGATCCTCACGACCCAGATAATCACGATGGTGTGATCACTCACCTAGAGCCAGACATCCTGGAGTGTGATCAAGTGGGCCTTAGGAAGCATCACTATGAACAAAGCTAGTGGAGGTGATGGAATTCCAGTTGAGCTATTTTGAATCCTAAAAGATGATGCTGTGAAAGTTCTATACTCAATATGCCAGCAAATTTGGAAAACTCAGCAGTGGGCAAAGGACTGGAAAAGGTCACTTTTCATTCCAATCCCAAAGAAAGGCAATGCTAAAGAATGTTCAAACTACTGCTGCACAATTGCACTCATCTCACACTCAAGGAAAGTAATGTTCAAAATTCTCCAAGCCAGGCTTCAATAGTACATGAACTGAGAACTGCCAGATGATCAAGCTGGGTTTAGAAAAGGCAGAAGAACTGCAGATCAAATTGCCAACATCCACTGGATCATCAAAAAAGCAAGAGAGTTCTGGAAAAGCATCTACTTCTGCTTTATTCACTATGACAAAGCCTTCGACTGTGTGGATCACAACAAACTGTGGAAAACTCTTAAAGAGATGGCAATACCAGACCACCTGACCTGCCTCCTGAGAAATCTGTAGGCAGGTCAACAAGCAACAGTTAGAACTGGACATGAAACAACAGACTGGTTCCAAATCGTGAAAGCAGTATGTCAAGGCTGTATATTGACACCCTGCTTATTTAACTTCTATGCAGAGTACATCACGTGAGGAGAAGGAAATGGCAACCCACTCCAGTACTCTTGCCAGCAGGCCATGGTCCATGGGGTCGCAGAGAGTTGGACATGACTGAAGTGACTGAGTATGCACATCATGCAAAATGCCAGGCTGGATGAAGCACAAGCTGGAATCAAGATAGACGGGAGAAATATCAATAACCTCTGATATGCAGATGACACCACCCTTATGGAAGAAAGTGAAGAACTAAAAAGCCTTTTGATGAAAATGAAAGAGGAGAATGAAAAAGTTGGCTTAAAGCTCAACATTCAGAAAATTAAGATCATGGTATCTGGTCCCATCACTTCATGATAAATAGATGGGGAAACAATACAAACAGTGGCAGACTTTACTTTTTGGGGGCTCCAAAATCACTGCAGATGGGGACTGCAGCCATGAAATTAAAAGGTGCTTACTCCTTGGATGAAAAGTTATGACTAACCCACACAGCATGTTAAAAAGCAGAGACACTGCTTTGCCAACAAAGGTCTGTCCACTCAAAGCTATGGTTTTCCCAGGAGTAACATATGGATGTGAGAGTTGGACTATAAAGAAAGCTGAGCAACGAAGAATTGATGCTTTTGAACTGTGGGGCTGGAGGAGACTCGAGAGTCCCTTGGACTGCAAGGAGATCCAACCTGTCCATCTTAAAAGAAATCAGTCATGAATATTCTTTGGAAAGACTGATGCTGAAGCTGAAATTCCAATACTTTGGCTACCTGATACAAAGAACTGACTCATTTGAAAAGACCCTGAAGCTGGGAAAGACTGAAGGCAGGAGGAGAAGGGGATGACAGAGGATGAGAGGTTGGATGGCACCACTGACTCAATGGACTTGAGTTTGAGTAAACTCCAGTGATGGACCCCGAGGCCTCAAGTGCTGCAGTCCATGGGGTTGCAAAGAGTCGGACACAACTGAGTGACTGAACTGAACTGAACTGAACAAACAGAATAGATTTCTGCTGTGTGATTTTGTGATTTCAGAGTGAGTCACAAAAGGCATTGTGTCTTTCTCTTTGCTGTTTCTCTTGGATCACTTCTTCAGGAAGACAACTCCTTTGTCACAAAAGCCCTAAAGCAGCTTTATTGGAGAGGAAATGAGACCTCCATCCAATATCCATGTGAGTAAACAGTCTTGGAAGCAGCTCCACAAACTCCAGGTCAAGTCTTCAGCTTACTACAACTCTAAACTAAATATCCTGTTCCTTCTCAAAATTTTGCCCATTAATTTTACCATTCATCAATGGATCTTGTTTGTAACAATTATCACGCAGTATTAAAGTGCAATAGTGCATAGGAACCTGGAATGTTAGGTCCATGAATCAAAGTAAATTGGAAGTGGTCAAACAGGAGATGGCAAGAGTGAATGTCGACATTCTAGGAATTAGCGAACTAAAATGGATTGGAATGGGTGAATTTAACCCAGATGACCATTATATCTACTACTGTGGGCAGGAATCCCTTAGAAGAAATGGAGTAACCATCATGGTCAACAAAAGAGTCCAAAAAGCAGTACTTAGATGCAATCTCAAAAACAACAGAATGATCTTTGATCATTTCCAAGGCAAACCATTCAATATCACAGTAATCC